GTTGTACAATTTTCTAAGAGCTTTTGTGTGTATTTGATTTCTTCATCACGTGAAGAAAAAGTAATTTGATATGGTTTTTTAATTGTTGAATATTCTTGAGTTGTCATGTAGGAAGATGTGAAGTTCGATTGTGGAGGTTGGAAGTGGGTAAGTGGCTGAAGAAGTTCTTTAGGAGGGTGTTCGTCGTCGTCCGAAGACATAAAAAGCTTCGAATAAGTGATTAATGAGTTGGTAAATCAAAAGTTCCCGGGTCACGGCACCAAAATGTGAGCTTTATTTACCAAAAAAAAGAAAAGCATACACCTTTTTCTATTTCAGCCAGAGAAGACAAGAAAAGAAAGAAACAATAGCCTCAAACAAAACAAACATATCCCTCTCTTCTCATCCTCCTCCCCCAGAACAAGATGAGCTATTCCTGATCTCCGGGCACTATAGTTTTTTGAAAAAAATTTTTTTTTCAAAATTTTTTTCCATTTTCATGGGTGACGCATCCCATTGTTTCGAATTTTTCACCCCGATGGAAATCGATTCTCTCTACATGCTATAGAGGAGTTTGTAGAGAATTCAATTCTCTACAACATGTGCTAGGCCCGGTCTCCGGGCAATGGATACGTTTTTTTGAAACAATTTTTTTTTCAAAATTTTTTTCCCTTTTGAGGGCTACCGAACCAATTGTTTGAAATTTCTCTCCCCGACGGAAATCAATTCTCTTTATATGCTGTAGAGGAGTTTGTACAGAATTAAATTCTCTACAAGATGCGCTAGGCGCGATCTCCGGGCAATGGATACTTTTTTCTGAAAAGATTTTTTGTAAATATTTTTTTCCTATTTCACTGGTGCCGGGCCAATTGTTTGGAATTTCTCTCCCCGATGGAAATCAATTCTCTTTATATGCTATAGAGAAGTTTGTAGAGAATTGAAATCTCTACAAGATGCGCTAGGCCCAATCTCCGGGCAATGGATGCTTTTTTTTGAAAAAAGTTTTTTTCAAAAATTTTTTTCCACTTTTAGGGGTGCCGGACCAATTGTTTGGAATTTCTCACCCGGATGGAAATCGATTCTCTTTATATGCTATAGAGGAGTTGGTAGAGAATTAAATTCTCTACAAGATGTGCTAGGCCCGATCTCCAGGCAATGGATAGTTTTTTTTTGAAAAAATATTTGTATCAAATGTTTTACAATTTTTGAGGGGTGCCGGACCAATTGCTTAGAATGTCACACCCGGATGGGAATCGATTCTCTCTATATGCTATAGAGGAGTTTCTAGAGAATTCAATTCTCTACAAGGTGTGCTGGACCGGATCTCCGGGCAATGCATAGTTTTTTTTCAGAAAATGTTTGTTTCAAAATTGGTTTTCATTTCGAGTGGTGGCGGATCCAATTCTTTGCTATTTCTCACCCTATGGTAATCGATTCTCTCTATGTGCTATGGAGGAGGGTGTGGGGAATTCAATTCTCTATCAGATGACGTATAATACTCGCTCAGAATTCGTTTTCAAGGTAGCCTAATTACCTTTGCTATGTCGTGACTCATAAGGAATTATGCATTTTTTTTTTAAAAAACGATGAAAGCTCACACTTCCATCCATTACCCGGAACTCACTTATACATCATGGAGTAGAGAATTGAATTCTCTATGAGGTGACGTATAACATTCGGTCCCAATTCATTTTGAACCTCTTGTGGTTGTTTTCCATAACTTTTGACTCAAAAAATTATGCACTTTTTGAAAAAAACAAAACACCAAATGTAACACTTCCTTCTATTGCCCGGAACTCAGTTATACAACATCGGGTAGAGGATTAAATTCTCTAAAACTCCTCTACAGCATATAAAGAGAATCGATTTCCATACATTTGAGAAATTCCCCACAATGGAATCGGTCACCCATCAAAATGGAGAAAAATTTTTCAAAAGAAACTAAGCATTGCCCGGAGATCAGACATAGCTCATCTTGTAGAGAATTGAATTCTCTACAAACTTCTCTACAGTATATAGAGAGAATCGATTTCCATCTTGGTCAGAAATTCCCAACAATGGGATCCGTCTGCCATGAAAATGGAAAAAAATTTTTCAAAAAAAACTATCCATTGCCGGGAGATCGGGCATAGCTCATCTTGTAGAGAATTGAAATTTCTACAAACCCCTCTATAGCATATAGAGAGAATCGATTTCCATCTGGGTCAGAAATTCCCAACAATGGGATCGGTCACCCATAAAAATGAAAAAAAAATTTTCAAAAAAAATTATCCATTGCCCGGAGATCGGGCATAGCTCATCTTCTAGAGAACTGAATTCTCTATCTGTTGGTGTATTCGTTCTCTCACGGCAATGGAAATTGTCTCCGGCAGAGAGGGTCGCAATACTTGAACTGACCCTATGAGTCGGATCTTTTTTCGGGCTCAAGGGTCTGTTCAAAATCGAATCTCTCTATAGTGAAGACATTATCTTGTAGAGAATTGAATTCTCTATCTGTTGATGTATTCGTTCTTTCTCGGCAATGGAAATTGTGTCCACTAGAATGTCTCACAATTCTTGAACTGACCCTATGAGCCATATGAGTCGGATCTTTTTTCGGACCCAAGGGTCTGTTCAAAATCGAATCTCTCTATAGTGATGACATTATCTTGTAGAGAATTGAATTCTCTATCTGTTGGTGTATTCGTTCTCTCTCGGCAATGGAAATTGTGTCCGGCAGAGAGGGTCGCAATACTTGAACTGACCCTATGAGTCATATGAGTCGGACCTTTTTTCGGACTCAAGGGTCTTTTGAGAATCGAATCTCTGTATAGTGAAGACAACATCTGGTAGAGAATTGAATTCTCTATTGAATGGTGTATTCACGGTATTTTCACAGTGGAGTAGGAGTTGCGATGGGTCGATATAATTCTTAGAACTCAACGACATTGTTGTGTGGAATTTTTTTTATTGTTCAAGTGTATTTCACATGGGTGTTTATGTTTTCGTGGTTTTCATCGGGTTTTCTATCCGGTTGCTAAGGAAAGTTGTGTTGGTATATCATGGATTTTACATGGTAAAATATGGAGTGATTTTTATTGGTCGGTATGGACATCGATTTTGATTGGTTGTCGTGCTAGCTTCACATCGATTTCTTCACCAAACTCTCCAAGAGTGTCACAGGCTCCCCATCTGACTTTCAAATCTTGATTCCGAAGTGCATTGAGCAGAGCATTAATGACCTCAATGGTTGCTGCTTTTTCACGAATCTTTCCAAGAGCTTCACAGGCTCTCTCTCTCTCAGCGTCGGGTTTTGATCTTGAAGTGCATTGAGGAGAGCCGTAATGACCTCATTCGTCGCTGCTTTTTCACCAATCTTTCCAAGAGCTTGACAGACACCTCTTTTGGTGACACCTGGGTTTCCGGGTTGAAGGAGAGCTAGAAATGCAGATAATAAATCAGGTAGAGGCTCGATGGTTGTGAACGTGAGTATAATTTCGAGTGCTTGATATTCAGTTAGTTCATTTTCACTTTGCAATAGATGAACGAGGGTCTTTTGTATTATCGATGTGTTGCCTAAATAGAGTGTATGTGCGAGTGATTCCATGAGATTTTTTGTGATTGGTGATGGACATGACTTGGCGCAAATATCTAACCATTCCGCTATGATTCGAAGAAACTTTAGTCTTTGAGGAAACACTGTTTGATCCGCGAGCTCTTCAGTACATTCAATGATAAGTTTGATGTGTTTTAGGCCGGTAAGATCTATGGGTTCTCCGTGCATGGTGGACCAAAATTTGTCGATCAATGATGCGTAGTTGGATTGTCCAAGAAGGCCAGAAGCAAAAACAAAGACTAAGAGAAAACGTTGGTTGTATTTATGATTATTTATGAAATGTATTGCTGTTTGTTGATTGGCACTATCGAGTGTTTTAAGCAAGTGACGTGCTGCAAAGTGTTCCTGAAAACTAAGATGGACAAAATAATGTTGTTGCTCAGCTGGTACGTTTTTGCTGGTGGGTTTTTCGGTATAGGACCTAAGAATTCCAATGTTTAATAATTCTGGTTGTTCGTCTAAAGAGTACTTGGTTTCGTTTTCTGTTTCTTTGAGAAGGGCGGGTGGCAAAATAATTGTGTTGCTTTCCATTGCCTTGAAAGCTAAGACTTCTAGGAATTGCAATTCGGCCTCGCACAGCTCATAAACAGCTTTCTTTCTCTTTCGTTCGTGTTTAAAATTTTTTCTTGTTAGATGCCGGCGGCATAACCATTCTATTATGCTGTCATACAATGCTGTGATACTCAACGCTTTCGTTTTTGACCAATCATTATCGCTCCATAGACTGCATATCAATTCAAGATTTACTGGTATATGAGCAACACCCCAAATACTTGAATTAGACTTTAGCAATGTTAGAAGGTTTTGTCCTTTGATTGAAGCATCTTTCATGTCATCTTTCATTTGCTCAAAGAACTGTTCGACATACTTAGCAATATTATCATTTGTAAATCCTGTTATTTCCATTTTGGCATTGTATGATAGTGTAATCGNTACATGTCTGATTATCAGTTACGATTATGCTTTTATCCGATGATCATTCGCGAAGGAAATTTCAGTTTTACTTTGAGAAAGAAGTTTTGATAATTTTCGTTTTGTTTTATATTCGACCCATTTCGGCCCATGGGTGCCCATTGAAATCTCGGCCCATGGGTACCCATTACAATTTCGGCCCATGGGCCGAATGGGCCGGGCTGGGCCGGGCCGGGCCGGGCTTGGCCCAGCCCATTGAGACCTCTGATACGCACCAATTTTTTTTCGGTTTCTACAACACAGACACCTATTTTAAAGAAACTATATGCCTATATATATCATGCATTAAAGTAAGAGTTAATGTGCGCTATTTACACATACATCACATGAATGAATGAACGAGGTAAGATTGTTCAAAATTCAAATAAATTCATGTTTTATATTGAAAAAAATATTATTATTACGTCAATTAAAAATATATGTTCTGACTTAATTGCTTTTCTTTTTTTTTATTTACAATAATTTTTTATATAGTAATTTACACTTGTTGAATGAAAATAATTTATGCATAAAAAATTCATCATAACCTATATAAAGTATTTCGATAAATATTTTCTAAATAACTGTCTCATTTACATGAATAAAAGTATAAAAGAAAAATGAATAGGAAATTTCATTTCTTCATCATATGTCCCTACAAGCTCTATAAAATAATACACATCGTATTGAAAACTTAGATTTGTCTTATTTCCATTCACAAAAGTCAGCGGTTTTGTTTTTTTTATGAATAAAATGTCAATTTTTAAATAAATCCTTTTCTTTTGTTTTACTCAAGGACATATCTATTCCATACTGATAAAGACGAGTTCATTATCAGATTGTTGTTCAAACAACGAAAGAAAAAAGAAAAGAAAAGAAAAGAAAGAAAAACATTGAAGCATTATTAGATTATGTCTTACGACGACAACGTATTGAATCAAAAACAAATTAATTAACGTTAACATCATCAATTAATAACGTCTATCAATATGCATCACACGACTGGGAAAATATACGAAATATTTTTGAACAAAATTTAATTGATGGACTTGATATTGGTGCAAGTTTACAGTGTCCGACACGGGTCACTTTTTTCGTGACCCAACCGACCCGAGCTCGGGAAAATTCGACCCGACCCGATCCGAGATAAGGGATAGTTTTTGGCCAATCAAAGCGAGTTTTTTTTTACAGATATTGACAATTTTCTGAGTAAATTGATACATATTTTCTCGATATTCGAAATAAAGAAATCATTGTCTGCTCTAAAATCGTTGCGTTTCTTATGTAAAGTTCGGAATTTGTAAACTTTTTGTGACTCGATCCCACCCGACCCAAGCCTAAAAAATTTTTCTCTGACCCGACCCGGCCTGACCCGAGCTCAAGTGTGTTTTTCGTGACCCGACCCGTTTCGGACACTGTAAGTTTATGTATTTATTATAAAGGAAAATGTGTTGTTGATTTATATGGTGGTTGGAAAGATTTACAAAGAAAAGAACCATATACATCTGATACATTACAATTAGTTTTTTCAGTATCAAAAGGAATTTTATCAGCAGCTATAGCTTTATGTGTTGAAAGAGGTTGGCTTGATTATGATCAACCTGTTACAAAATATTAGCCAGAAGTTGGTATTAATGAAAAAGAGGTAAAAGATCTTTAATTAATAAAAACAGAATTATAATTATTCTTTTTTTTTTAAACGATATTATTATAGGTGATTTATTATCACATCGTGCTGATTTACCATATATTAATCAAACTCTTACAGTTGATGATGTATGTGATTGGTCTAAAATGATTTCTTTATTAATTAATGAAAAGCCTCATTGGAAACCTGGTACAACACATGGATATCATGGTCATACGATTGGATATATTGCTGGAGAATTAATTCATCGTGTTGATCCTCAACATCGTTCATATGGACAATTTGTTCGTGATGAATTAGATCATGATTATTATGTTGGTATAACAAATAATGAGATCGATGCACGTGTCGCTCCATTATTTGAAAAACAGGTATCCAGGAAATAAAAATAAATTTGAAAATATTAAGAATTAAAATTTTTTAGGTCGATAGAAAAACAGTCGATCCAAAATTCATAGATTCAGCAGCTGACAAAACTTTAACATTTAATGGTGCTTTACCTTTAGAACAATCTCAAATGATCTATAATGAATCGAAAATTCATCGTGCAGAATTACCAGCTGTTAATGGTATTACAAATGCTCGATCTTTAGCTAAAATTTATAGTTTACTTATTGGTGATGTTCATGAAAATGGAAATATTTTAAAATGTCTTTTAAGTAAAAAAACATTATCAGAAGCAATAAAAAATTCAACACCAATTGGTGAATTAGATCAAACTTTATATAAAATGCCAACAACTTTTAGCAAAGGCGGTTTTCAAATATATGGAGATAGTTTTCATATATTTGGTGATGGAGTTTTTGGTCATACTGGTAAATATAGATTTAACTAGATCATCTGTTTTTTCTTTCTAATATATTTTTGAACGCTTATATCAGCTGTCTTGAGGCTATGAAGTTAATGACTAAGATAATTAAAAAAACAACATAGCCACAAAAAATAATTTATTCGAGAAGAACATATATGTTGATTTTATTCTGATAGAAAATATTTTTTTCTTCTATATATTTATTATAGGGTATGGTGGTAGTTGTGCATTTGCTTATCCGTCACAACAATTAACTTATGCTCATGTATGCAATCATCTAGATCCTTATGCATTTACAATTGATCATCGAAGTATTCGTATTATTCAAGCTATTGAAAATATTCTTAAACATCAATAGACATTAATTATTTATTTGATTTTATATCATTTACAGATACAGTAATCAAGAAAAATAATAATAGCAGTTTTTGTAGCGCATTGAAGAAAATAGTTATTAGCTAACGGAAAAAGAAATCTATATCTGTTCCACAGAAATTTTGCTCATAAATATGCGATGTGGGCATAATCAGGAACATAATTGTACCATACATTCTTACTTTTAATTATTCAGCAAATAAAAAAAACTTAGTCTTTTTATTTCTTCATAATTCTACATTGAATAGAAATAATAAATTTATAATAGACTGATATCTATTTAGTCTTTTCAGTGTTCAGTCGCATTTTAGTTTTCGCTACACAATGATAGGCTTAGCAATCCAGTTTTCTATGACTATGATCTTCTAATACATGATAAAGTTACAAGATATGATTCGGTGAGAAACATCTTTGTTAAACCCAGAGTAGTAATTAACCTTTTCACAGCAAGAGTACATATATGTACCACTTTCTTTCTCTTTATTTTTATCTTCATAACTACGGTTGTGGCAGTTCTAGTATCAGTTTCGTGAGCGGCAACTGACACATCAAATTCAATTTCTACTGAAAGGTGCCGATCACCAACTTACGTGAATAGGAGGAGCTACGGCTAACCATCAGCTCACTTCAATAGTATCTGTAACTGCTTACCAATTCTTTATTTCACATCTCACAGGTGATGAGCTTGAACAGTCACATTCTTAGCCCACACTCTCATTCAATCAAAATTCACCAGTGAGAGTTAAAATATACTGCACGAAAATCAAAGGATTGATCGCTACCACTCTGTTACTCATAATCAGCTAAGTTGTTTACGTACTAACGCCGTAGCGGAAAAAATGTCATGGGAGCTTGCTTCGTTTAAGTCAACTGTAAGTCAGTTGGCACATACGCTGATAGGAGTTCAAATTTTTCAAGTGGGGGCACGCCTATTCAAAGGAGATGTTGCTAAATTAACTCTGGGTACGTCTCAACTATAAAAATATATGGTTTGAAATGCAACGGACCAGTTCGAGAATTCCACTCTTAAATAAACAATAGTATGTGAAATAAAAAGCGATAAAATTATTCATATATCAACGCAGCATTCGACACCATATCGTTCTACTTTTATTTTTAATGGCAGAAACGTGCATTAATCATTTTGTGTTACACTACAAAAAATAGTCTAACAACTTTTGACGATTTATGTGCAATCAATGATTAGAAGAATTTTCATCTATATTTTCTCTTAGTCACAAAAGTTGTATTTGTAAAGATAGCTGTGTTGTTCTTTAACTGTTCAAGCGTCATACGTATTGCGGAATTGACTGTTCATGTATTAAATTGATATAGACGGACGATTCGGTCACGTACTCTTTCTCTATATAACGAATAATTATTACGTCAAACAGCTGTTGTCAGTGACCGCAACATAATGAAGAGGAAAAAAAAATGACCGTCTGCAACATAATATATAAGGGCAGTCATAAAAAAGAAATGACATTTCTCATCTTCATTCAATTTACAGGAATGATCAGTCTCTTTGACCAACTGCCTGATTTAACATTACTCGAAATATTTTCTTATCTATCTTGTGCTGATGCTTTATGGTCATTTTTTAAACTCAATTCTCGTCTGACAACATTGTTAACAGAGCAAGGTTTTTATCGTCATGTTAATTTATCATCAACTGGTAAAAAACAATTCGAAACAATTTTTTCAACACTTCGATTAAATGAAATACAATCACTTGTCATTGATCGTTGCACGTCACCTCTTCAACTAAAAAGATGGCCTCATTTAACACATTTGACAGCATTACGATTACAAGGTGTACGCAATTTTAGGGAGGTTTTCAAATTGGCAAAAAAACATTCACAAACATTGACTCATCTTACAGTTGAATCAAGTCGATACTTTTGTACAGTAAGTGCAGGAAAATCAAGAGAACTTTAAGAAAAAATAAAAAGCATTGATGGTCAGTTGCTACACAGAATAGTACAGTAGGAAATGCTGCTCTCACCAATTTTTAGAACTTCACTCTTCGAACTGCACTAATGTTTTGTAGCGAAGCATGCCTTAGAAAAAACACAATTATTTAAGATTTTTTGTTTTCATTAAAATCAATCAGTTAGAATCAACTGTGGAATAACATCTAAACGATATAGTAACACGTATCTGCAATATGAGTCAATGTAGAAGTTTCAAAATGAAAAGTAAATCTTTCTCGTGTATTTACTTGTTTAATAGTATCCATTTACGAGAAGTATATTTTTATCCGGATAAATATTACACAAGCTCATTCTTTTATAGGATTTTGTTTCGACACAAAATTTTTATGAAGATGTTTGACTAAAGAAGGAGAATTTTTCGATTATCAATTAATATTAAAAGTATTTTACGATTTATTTTATGTAGAATGGTATAACAAAAAGTATGGCTTATCCATCATGGAACATGTGTGAATTTCTCGAAAGAACACTTTGTTGTTTGCCTAATCTTCAATCACTTGATTTAGGAATGGAAACATCTTTTGTTTTATACAAGTGGCCTTTCAAAGCGATAGAAGCACCCTTAACCTATCTAAAAATTTCACTGGCTCGGACGCATTTTTTGATTGATATATTTTCAACGAAACCGTTATCATATACTTTAAAGCAACTGCATATAAAAATTAGGGATCTTTGTGGTGATTTTGGTTTTTCTTTACGTAATAAAGGCCTTTTACATCGAATGGAATCTTTACATACATTTACTTTTATTAAATCATTTAAATGCTATTCAAATGAGGAATGGGAATTTGTTAATGTATTGACAAATTCTGATATTATGCCTGTTTTACGACGAATAAATTTTTCTGTTTTTATCGATGCCAATGATCTGGTTCAGATGACTCATTCAAATCTCTTTGTTGACGATCGTCATATTGATGTTCATTATGTTTTTATGATTAGTGATGATCGACAACATTCTGAACTTGATGAATATGTGCCACGTGGTAGTTTATCACATCCTCGTCAAATAGCTAGTGTAACATTTATTTCTGAATGTTGGCCTGTTGATTCAATGATGCATAATCGTGATGAAATTTATGTAAGTATTTACTTTGTAAATTTGGAAGTTGTTTTGATAAGTAAATATTCTTTCAATGAATGTAATTAATGTTTTAGTTAAACAAACCTAGAAATCGACAACATATATTCTATACTTTGCCATGGGCTTTTAATGAATTTTTTCCATTATGTGTTCCAGATGGATATATTAATGAATTGGAAGTTTTTACATCGACTTCTCCAGTTAATAGAGTTGGTTCATCACATGTTCGAAAATTCAGTATATCAAATAATTTTCCGTCATTGGCTACTTCTTTTCCTCACATAATGTCTTCGAACAAAGTAGTTGAACTGCACTTATCACAATGTGATAGAGAATTATCTGTAAATTTACCAATTTTTGATCATCTCATTATTACAGATAGTCTTGACTTATTGAATAAGTGTTGTTTTTCAAGAAATATTCGATCAATTCAAATTACTCTTAATCAAGAATATATTCATTTGGCAAGAAATGATTGGAATGATTTGCCGATTCTCTCTACTTTACCATTTTTGAACTCTTTACGCATACTTTTATATGATATGAATGTTCCACCAAATGATATAAGTCGCCATATCATCGTCGAAACAATATCAAATATGTCTGACTTTTGCTTTTGTTTTCGGCGTAAAAATTACGGAAGTCGTCGAAATTTTGAATCGGCACATACTATGCAGGCTATATTCATTACACAATTGCGGAATGATATTCTTGCTTTACCATTGAATGAAAAACCTAGAATTGTTGTTGAAAAGGGTGGCTATGGGCTTATTGCATGGTTTTGATTAATGAATAAAAACAAAATTTATTGTAATAGTTTTGTTCAATAAAAGAATTGCTTCACTTGCTTTAATTTTTTAATGAAAATCAATCGGTTAGAGAACGTTTTATTAACGCGCCGACTCACCCAGACACCTGCCCCGCTCCGCATGCAGCGAGTGTGACTAAGTCTAGAGGAGG